GCCTTTGCGCACACTGGTCCTTCATTTTGAACACTGAGTTCTGTACCAGACTGACTCATCCTAAAATTTCCAGTCTCTGGGTTAAATATCATCTTCACAAAAATCATTAACAGATGCTAAAATCATTTAAGTGTAAGGTTGGGGAAAAGGGAAACTTTTAAACACATTGAGCAGGCTTATGGCACTTAACCCATTGACCAATCTTATCTCGAAGAAGAGGGAGAGGCATTCAGACATCAGGTGCTTTCTCTGTGAAGGAAAGGAAAGCAGCCAGTACTTCCTATGAAGCATTCTTGACCCCCTGCCCTCAAGTCCAAATCTAATCAAGCCTCTAGATCTAACTACTACTTATTTGTAGTAGGAAAAAAATTGAGGATAGAAGAAACAACATTAAAAGCAGGCAATCAGCCAAATCCAGAATGTAGGAAATTCTATAGTACGTTGGGTGCACCGTTACTGCTAAAGTGGAAGACTGTTCACAAACACTTTAAAAAAATTACCCTAATACAATGGATGGACCTTGTTCAAGTCTTGTTTCAAAAAGGCCATCTGCAAAAGTGTCATTTTTTCCTAAACAATCAAGAAATTCTGAATTATGTACTAGGTTTTAGATACTATTAAGAAGCTGTTAATGGTAGTCGAAAGGCACTGTGGTAACTTTTAAAAAACTGCTAAGAGGCAAATTTGACCTTGGAGTACAAATTGAAGCAAGGCAATGGCTAACAAGAGTTTTGCCAAGAGAACACACTGGTCATAGCAAAACCCTCTTCCAACAACACAAGAGACAATTCTACACATGGACATCACCAGATACCAATACCACATGAGACTGATTATATTCTCTGCAGCCGAAGATGGAGACCTTCTATGTAGTCAACAATAACAAGACCTGGTGGCTCTGATCATCAACACCTTATTGCAAAATTCAGACTCAAATTGAAGTAGGGAAAACCACTAGGCCATTCAGGTATGACCTAAATCAAATCCCTTATGATTATACAGTGGAAATGTCAAATAGATTTGAAAGATCAGATCTTGTAGACAGAGTGCCTGAAGAACTATGGATGGAGGTTGGTAACATTGTACAGGAGACGGTGAGCAAAACCATACCCAAGAAAAAGAAATGCAAAAAGGTAAAGTGATTGTCAGAGGAGGTCTTACAAACAGCTGAGAAAAGAAGAGAAGCGAAAGGCAAAGGAGAAAAGGAAAGATTTACCCAACTGAATGTAGAGTTCCAGAGAATAGCAAGGACATAAGAAAGCTTTCCTCAGTGATCAATGCGAATAGAGGAAAACAAAAGAGTGGGAAAGACTAGAGATCTCTTCAAGAAAACTAGAGATACCAAGGGAACATTTCATGCAAAGATGGCACAATAAAGGACAGAAACGGCAGGGTCCTAACAGAAGCAGAAGATAAAGAGGTGGAAAGAATACACAGAAGAACTGTACAAAAAAGGTTTTAATGACCCAGATAACCACGATGGTATGGTCACGCATCTAGAGCCAGACATCCTGGACTGTGAAGAAAAGGGGGCCTTAGGAAGCATTACTATAAACAAAGCTAGTAGAGGTGATGGAATTCCAGCTGAGTTACTTTAAAATCCTAAAAAATGATGCTGTTAAAGTATTGCACTCAATATGCCAGCAAATTTGGAAAACTCAGCAGTGGCCACAGGACTGGAAAAGGTCAGTTTTCATTCCAATCCCAAAGAAAGGCAAAGAATGTTCAAAACCGTACAACTGCACTCATTTCACACGCGCACAAGATTATGCTCAAAACCCTTCAAGCTAGGCTTCAGCAGTATGTGAACTTCTAGATGTACAAGCTGGATTTAGAAAAGATACAGGAACCAGAGATCAAACTGCCAACATCTACTGGATCATAGAAAAAGCAAGGAAATTCAAAAAAACATATTTCTGTTTTATTGACTATGCTAAAGCCTCTGACTGTGTGGATCACAACAAACTGAAAAATTCTTCAAGAGATGAGAATACCAGACCACCTTATCTTTCTCCTGAGAAACCTGTAAAGCAATAGTTAGAATCTTACACGGAACAATGGACTGGTTCAAAACTAGGGAAGCAGTATGTCAAGGCTGTATACTGTCACCTTGCTTATTTAACTTCTAGGCCAAGTACATGATGCCAAATGCCTGGCTGAAAGACTCACAAGCTGGAATCAAGAAATATCAATAACCTCAGATATGCACGTAACACCACCCAGTAGCAGAAAGTGAAGAGGAACTAAAGAGCCTCTTGATGAAGGTGAAAGAGTGTGAAAAAAGTTGGCTTAAAAGTCAATATTAAAAACTAAGATCATGGCATCTGGTCCCGTCACTTCATGGCAAATAGATGAGGAAAAAGAGGAAACAGCGACAGATTATATTTTCCTGGGCTCCAAAATCACTGTTGATGGTGACCGAAGCCATGAAATTAAAAGATGTTTGCTCCTTGGAAGAATAGCTATGACGAACCTGCTGCTGCTGCTAAGTCGCTTCAATCATGCCCGACTCTGTGCTACCCCATAGATGGCAGCCCACCAGGCTCCCCTGTCCCTGGGTCTCTCCAGGCAAGAAAACTGGAGTGGGTTGCCATTTCCTTCTCCAATGACGAACTTAGACAGCATATTAAAAAGCAGAGACATTACTCTGCTGACAAAGGTCTGTACAGTCAAAGGTATGGTTTTTCCAGTAGTCATATACGGATGTGAGAGCTGGACAAGAAAGAAAGCTGAGCGCCAAAGCTTCTGAACTGTGGTGCTGGAGAAGACTTTTGAGAATCCCTTGGAGAGCAAGGAGATCAAACCAGTCAATCTTAAAGAAAACCAATCCTGAATATTCCTTGGAAGACAGATGTTGAAGCTGAAACTCTAGTACTTTGGCCCCTGATGCAAAGAGCCAGACTCACTGGAAAAGGCGCTGATGCTGGGAAAGACTGAGGGCAGGAGAAGAAGGCAACAGAGGATGACATGGTTGGATGGCATCATCGACTCAATGGACATGAGTCTCAGCAAGTTTGGGAAATAGTGAAGGACAGGGAATCCTGTCATGCTGTAATTCATGCACTGGCAAAGAGTCAGACATGACTCAGTGACTGAAAACCAACAACTTGGTAAGAGCTACACCATGACATATTTAAAGGTAAATAAAATGACACAGCTGTGCAACTTTAAAATATTTCACTACAAAGGTGGGAAAAAAGAAAAAGCAATACTGAATTAAAACAATGGGTTTTAATTACCCTACTGAATGGTACACAGTAAATGTATGCTGTGTGTGCTCAGTTGTGTCTGACTCTCTGCGACCCCATGGACTGTAGCCTGGCAGGCTCCTCTGTCCATGGGAGTCTCCAGGCAAGAATACTGAAGTAGGTTGCCATTTCCCATAAGAAATCACAAAAATCCCATGTGTTTGCCAATTGTAGCTTGAAAAAAACTACTAATCTTGGTTTCTAGTAACCTCCTTAGTCAAGGCTTTTCTGACTTCCCCAAAGGAAGGTGATGACAAAAGAGCACCTCTATCAAAATACCCACAATATTAATTTTATGCTTTTATGTGTGTCCCCTACTGAACTGAAATCATAGAGAGCAAGCACAGTCTTATATGTCTCTTAAGGATAATGGAAGAGTGATTTTTACCCTACACTTAGTTCAAGAGACTCTTATACCTGATCTTTGATCTCTACCTTTGAAGACAACTATAATTTAAAGACTAACTAAAATAAAAGCTTCTTGTCAGAAGTTAGCAAAACTAATCATTGTTATCAATTCTTTGAAGTTCTGAAGTAAGTAAGTAAAGTCGGTCAGTCGTGTCAGACTCTCTTCGACCCCATGGACTGTAGCCTACCAGGCTCCTCCCATGGGATTTTCCAGGCAAGGGTACTGGAGTGGGTTGCCATTTCCTTCTCCATAAAGTCCTGAAAACCTCTACTTAACATTACTGTCTGATTCTCTTTCAGCTAGCTACATGAAAATAAGAAAACCAACTTTTTTCTTTAGAAAAAAAAAAAAAAAACTACCATTCAGATATTGTTTTAGTTCTTACCAGGTCTGCAAGACACCTAAAAAAGTGAAGAGTGTAGCAAGAATATACTCCAGCACAGTTTGCAAAACAAACAATATGCTTTAGGAAACAACCGAAAAATCCCCTGAAGAAATTCTTGTGTGCAATACTCAAGTCCTTAAAATATTATATGTACACTTTATGGAAAGCTTTCTCTGATGTTGCTACTGAAAAATTTAAGGTGCAGAATGATAGATACAAAATGACCTCACTGTTGTTTAAAAATAAGAATACATGTAGAAAAAGTCAGAAAGAACATAATATCCAGCAGTTAAGGGTAGATAGCTTGAGGAGGGGACAGGTTAACAAGACAGTTCATTTTACACACTTCTATACTGTGTGCTTTTCTTCAACAACAGGCAAGTAGTATTTTGATTTTAAAAAAAAAAAAAAAACTATAAAATAAAAAATTGTGATCCTGACTATACTATGAAACAAAATATTCTTAAGTAAATACTTCTAAACGAAATGGACTTTTCGTAGCAGGAATGTATGAGGAGTACGTGCATGAGTGTTAAGTCGCTCCAGTCGTCTTCGAATCTTTGCAACCCCATGGACAGTAGCCCACCAGGCTCCTCTGTCCACGGGACTCTCCAGGCAAGAGTACTGGAGTGGGTTGCCATGCCCTCCTCCAGGGGATTTTCCCAACCCAGGGATTCAAACTGCGACTCCTGCATTGCAGGCGGATTCTTTACCGCTGAGCCACTGGGGAAGCCCAAGTAAGAGGGAGGAGACCAAACCCAAACTGAGATGTAGTAATACTTAATACCAAAAAGTACCAAGGACCTTTGATACTTGTTTTCCATGCCAACATCCCACGGCATGGAGAACCTTCCTAAGAGAGCTTCCGAGATGAAGGAAAAGAGCAGCAGCATTTTCTCTGCGTGTCGCTTTATAACAATGGTTTTCAAACTTGGAGGTGTACAAGAAACAAGGGAACGCGCTGATTAAAATACATCTTCCCGAGCTCCAGCTCCTGATATTCCGTTAGGGGAAGTATGGGTGTGGCCCCCAAATGAGCAGTCTGCAACCGAGTACTCGAAGGCCTCTGAGACAGATGGTCCGTGGCCCTGAAAATCACTACCATAAGATCTTGAAGACACCGCAGTGTCATTCTCTCCTCCCTCTTTCCCGTCTTTCCTTCCAAGTGCCTCAGTCGTCCTCTCACTTTGCGTCCTATCGAGCACCATCCATCCCAACTTCCGGTCGGTAACCCGCCGGCGGACCTGTGCCTCGTCACTGTACTCCCACCATCGTCCTCCGCGGATTCGCGTCGCATGGCGCTTACCCCACCAGCCCGGCCTCGCCCAGGCGACCTTCCGCACACCGTCCCCCACTTCTCTGGCTCCTCCCGCCGGCCGCCCCTGCCCCGGGCCGCACACCTGGCCGCGTCGCTCCCACCCCCCGCCCCCCGCTCCCGGCCTGCCGGCACCTCGCCAACGAAACCCAAAAGCCACACCTCACGGCCGTTCCATGAGTCGCTTTCCGCCGAGCCCGGGGGTGAGGGGGCGTCACTCAACTGTCCCTAAGGTCTTAGCAGCATTTTGAAACGGCGAGTAGTGAGGGCGCAACTTCCGGCCTCCCCAACCCATCGCCCAGAGGAGCTTCCGGTGAGGCCTCCGGAAACCATAGATGGGCCAACGGGAGGGCTAGAGAGCTAGAAGACTGAGCCGGCCCTACCATAGAGGAGATCCCAGTCCGGGGAAAGAAAGTAGCAGGGCCTGGACGACTAAGACTTCTGAGGTTTCAAGAGATACCTTTTGAGGAAATCGCAGGGTCTTATGCTATTTATAAACGTGTCCTGGGAGAGTTTAAAAAAAAAAAAAACACAGGATGGGGGGAAAGCTAAAAGCACCATCAGAGACACCTTTTCAGCTCTTTAGAAAGCTGAAAAGCCACCCGCTCTGCTTCTCGGTGTTAGCTTATTCATTCTTACTCCCCAGACGTGGTGGAGCGGAAAAACAGCACACTAGTGTTGTCGCTAATTGGGCGAGGATAAGACTAGTATATACAGAGATCACTACAAAATATGTGGTGAATGTTAAAAGAGAAGCGCAAAGGACAATGAGGTGGAGCTTATTTGGATCACACAATCGAGTCGTCTAGCCTACTCTCTCACAAAAGTGCCTTCAACAAACTTCTCAGGCAGGCTGTCTTCAACCTCTGCCGGTGCCAAATGGCATGACCCCTCCCAAATACTTCATTTCGTTTATTGTAGGATGAGTCTAGATACTCGAGGAATTTTTTAGCTGAAATATGTTACTTTACCATCTCTATTGGTTTTAGTTCTGCACTTTGGAGAAGACTAAGGCTTCTTTCTTTCTATTTTTTCTTTTCTTTTTCTTTTTGCAGACAGCTACCATGTCCCATCTCTAACCTTTTGTTTTTCTGCTTGTTGAAAATCCCCTCAGAGCTTTCAACTACTTATCTGCTGTGGCTTCAAGAACCTGTTTGTCCTATTTAAAATGTGCCTCCCGGAACCAGATACACACCTATGCAAAATGAGGCAATGACATTTCTTTATTTGCACATTGCACCTTTTTCTGTTTCTGTCATCACCTCCGACTTAGGTGGAGATCCAGAGTTCTGTAAATGAGCTGAAGAATTAATTCCTTTTTCACAGTTGCTCCCAGAAAGCTTTTCTAGGTGAACTGTTAACCATTTCTCCTCTCTTTTTCTGCAATTAATTTTAATTTTTAAAAAATCCCAAACAGAAATTTGTTTTGTATCTTTTAACTAGTACCTGGTTATTTTAGGGTCTTTCCTATTGTCTACTGGACTTTTTGGATTATGATCCTGTTATGCAATTCAAGGTCCACAAGTATTTGTTGAACACCTATTATGTGCCAAGCACAACTTAGAGGATTCTAAAACAAGTGACGCCTGGAGGTGCCGTCAGAATGTCCAGGTAAAGAGAATGTGGTAAGTGCAATGAGAGCTGCAGGTGGCCTTGCCTGGAGAGACAGGAGGGATTAGCTCTTTCACTTTTGCACATTGTTGATTAACATATACAAATTATTTTCATTTAAAGCCTTGATAAATATGTTGAGTAGGGAATGATTAAGAATAGAGCTGGGGCTTCCCTCGTGGCTCAGTGGTAAAAGAATCCACCTGCCGATACAGAAGACACAGATTCAATCCCTGGTCCAGGAAGACCACACATGCTGCAGAACAACTAAGCCCATGTACCACAACTCCTGAGCCTGTGCTCTAGAGGCCACAAGCAGCAAGTACTGAGCCCATGTGCTGCAACCAATGAAGCCCACATGCGCTAGAGCCCGTGTCCCACATCAAGAGAAACCTTGCAGTGAGCAGACCACAACTAGAGAGTAGCTCCTGTTCTCCACAACTGGAGAAAACACCTGAACAGCAGTGAAGACCCAGCACAGCCAAAAATAAATTATTTCTAAAAAAGAATAGAGCTTACCCCTGATAGTTGACTCTGATTCACGATTCCAGAGTTCCTCTTCCAGAGTTGTTCTTAAACCAATTATCTCACCCAACAGAGGTCAACATCTGGCAACATTTCCCAAGGAGTTCATAAAAAAAATGACTTGCTATAATGAAAACAAATCATATCTATAATATTTCTTTTACCAGCCAAGTAATCTTGCCAAAAAAGAAAACAAAATTGGTGTAACAAGATCATAACTGATTCAGTGATCCCCGCTTCCTTCTCTAAGAACTGTGCTCACAAACCATTTATTTAATAAACAGGAAATCTGGGTTTACTCTAACTATTCTAGAAACCAGAAAGTTCCACAGGTCTTTAGTTTCCCAATCTGTAATGTAAAATGAGTGAATTGAATAAATTTTCTAAGGCCTACTGCAGCTTTAAAGGAATTAAAAGCCAATGTTTTTGGTCTATAGCCTTTCTGAAAAGCTGTAAGAAACTATTTCAGACAAGCAAAAAAGTATAATGAAGCATATGACTCCTTTTCCCCACAATTCTTCGTAGAGAACAACACATTACCTGTACAAAAAAGTCCTGCATGTGGGACTCCCCTGATGATCCAGTGACTGACTCTGATCTCTCAATGCTGGGGCCCTGGATTTGATCCCTGGTTGGGGAACTAGTTCCCACATGCCACAACTAAGACCCTGTGCAGCCAAATAAATAGATAAAAATAAGTATTTTTAAAAGTTCCCCTTCAGTATATTCTCCGATGACATTTCCCTCCTTCAACTGAAGAGGGAACCATTATCTTGAGTTTGGTATTTACCCCTGCAGCCATTTAGTCTTTTAGGATTTATATTCCTCTATATATTCCTTTCAAATATTTTATACTTCAAATTTTTTAAAATTTGTCTTCAGACATACAGATGGCAAAAAAACACATGAAAAGATGCTCAACATCACTCATTATCAGAGAAATGCAAATCAAAACCACAATGAGGTACCATTACACGCCAGTCAGGATGGCTGCTATCCAAAAGTCTACAAGCAATAAATGCTGGAGAGGGTGTGGAGAAAAGGGAACCCTCTTACACTGTTGGTGGGAATGCAAATTAGTACAGCCGCTATGGAAAACAGTGTGGAGATTTCTTAAAAAGCTGGAAATAGAACTGCCATATGACCCAGCAATCCCACTTCTGGGCATACACACCGAGGAAACCAGATCTGAAAGAGACACGTGCACCCCAATGTTCATCGCAGTACTGTTTATAATAGCCAGGACATGGAAGCAACCTAGATGCCCATCAGCAGACGAATGGATGAGGAAGCTGTGGTACATATACACCATGGAATATTACTCAGCCATTAAAAAGAATTCATTTGAATCAGTTCTAATGAGATGGATGAAACTGGAGCCCATTATACAGAGCGAAGTAAGCCAGAAAGATAAAGACCATTACAGTATACTAACACATATATATGGAATTTAGAAAGATGGTAACGATAACCCTATATGCAAAACAGAAAAAGAGACTCCGATGTATAGAACAGACTTGTGGACTCTGGGAGAAGGCGAGGGTGGGATGTTTCAAGAGAACAGCATCGAAACATGTATATTATCTAGGGTGAAACAGATCACCAGCCCAGGTTGGGTGCATGAGACAAGTGCTCGGGCCTGGTGCACTGGGAAGACCCAGAGGGATCGGGTGGAGAGGGAGGTGGGAGGGGGGACCTGGATGGGGAATACATGTTAATCCATGGCTAATTCATTTCAATGTATGACAAAAACCACTGTAATGATGTAAAGTAATTAGCCTCCAACTAATAAAAATAAATGGAAAAATAATTAAAAAAATAAAATAAAATACAAAAATAAAGTAAAAAAAAATTTGTCTTCATGTTTACCCTTCTGTCTGTGTACTTTGTGTGTATCTTAATCTCCTTTTCTCACGAGGACATCAGTTCAGTTCAGTCGCTCAGTCGGGTCTGACTCTTTGCCACCCCATGAACCGTGGCACGCCAGGCCTCCCTGTACATCACCAACTCCTGGAGTCTACATAAACCCATGTCCATCGAGTTGGTGATGCCACCCAACCATCTCATCCTCTGTGGTCCCCTTCTCCTCCTGCCCTCAATCCTTCCCAGCATCAGGGTCTTTTCAAATGAGACAGTTCTTTGCATCAGATGGCCAAATATTGGAGTTTCAGCTTCAGCATCAGTCCTTCCAATGAACACCCAGGACTGATCTCCTTCAGGATGGACTGGTTGGATCTCCTTGCAGTCCAAGGGACTCTCAAGAATCTTCAACAACACAGTTCAAATGCATCGATTCTTTGGCGCTCAGCTTTCCTTATAGTCCAACTCTCACATCCACACATGACTACTGGAAAAACCATAGCCTTGACTAGATGGACCTTTGTTGACAAAGTAATGTCTCTGCTTTTAATATGCTGTCTAGGTTGGTCATAACTTTCCTTCCAAGAAGTAAGTGTCTTTTAATCTCATGGCTGCAATCACCATCTGCAGTGATTTTGGAGCCCAGAAAAATAAAGTCAGCCACTGTTTCCACTCTCTCCCCATCTATTTGCCATGAAGTGATGGGACCGGATGCCATGATCTTAGTTTTCTGAATGTTGAGCTTTAAGCCAACTTTTTGACTCTCTTCTTTCACTTTCATCAAGAGGCTTTTTAGTTCTTTTTCACTTTCTGCCATAAGGGTGGTGTCATCTGCATATCTGAGGGTATTGATATTTCTCCTGGCAATCTTGATTCCAGCTTGTGCTTCCTCCAGCCCAGAGTTTCTCATGAGGTACTCTGCATATAAGTTAAATAAGCAGGGTGACAATATACAGCCTTGACATACTCCTTTCCCTATTTGGAACCACTCTGTTGTTCCATGTCCAGTTCTAACTGTTGCTTCCTGACCTGCAAATCTAATGTGTATTCCTTGAGTGAGAAATTGGAACATTAATGAGCCAAAATTTAATAGTTCCCCATTACTTAGGGGACAGTTATTCTTTCAAGTTAACTTAATATTGTCAAGTTAACTTAATATTTCTAAATTCTCTACCTCTCCCTCTACTCCGGTAAAATATATGTTAAGCCTTAAATTGAAGCATTAT